GTGGGGTTTTTTGCCTCCCTGGCCACAAGCTGCTCGTGTTCAGCTCCATCAATCAGCACCTCTCTTTGGGCTCTGCCATCCAGCCAGTTTCCAATCCAGCGAAGAATCCACCTACCCAGGCCATGAGCAGTGAGGTCTCCAGGAGAAAGCTGAGGGAGACAGTGCCAAATGCTTTACTACAGTCCAAATAGACAATGTCCACAGCCTTTCCTTCGTTAACCAGGTGGGTCACCTTATTGTGGAAGGAGATCAGGTTGGTCGCACAGGACCTGCCCTTCATGAACCCATGCTGACTGGGCCTGATCTCCTAATTTTCCTGCACATGTTTTATGATCTCTCTCACTTAGGATCATCTGCTCCACAAACTTCCCCAGCAGTGAGCTCAGGCTGACAGGCCTGGAGTTCCCAGGGTCTTACTTCCTGCCCTTTTTGTAGAGAGGGGTCACACTAGCCTACCTCCAATCCTTTGGGACCTGGGCCCTGGACCAGAACTGCTGATAGACGATGGAGAGTGGCTTGGCGAGCTTCTGCCAGCTCCCTCAGCACTCATGAAAAATCTGCTTTTAAGCTAATCCCTAGCTGACTTATTTCCCAAGACACTGCCAAGATGGGCATGTTGGAGTTCAGTTGAGTATTCGCTGTCATGGGTGAGGTATTCGGGTTGGGAATCATTCATTTTAATTCTCTAATGATTGCCAGGGTAGTGTCTAATTGTCATCACTTGAAACAGATGCTGCTCTGTGAAGTGATAGAGAGCAATAAAATGTCTTCCCGGTGTTCCTTAATCAACCAAAATATTCTTGATTTCCTTGTTATCTTCTTGCTGTCCATCTTCTATCAGTCGCTGTGTCTCATATGCCCTCTCTGCAATGCACAGCAGCTCCTTATGGTTTGAAACCTCTATTCTCCCATTGTACACACACAGCTTGTTGTTTTGCCTGTTTCTTGGTTGCCTACTCATGCCTCAGTATGGCTGCAACTTCTGACAAGCTCTTGGGATGAAGTTGAGCTTTCCTTCTGCCTCTCTATGCCATGTGTAGGGTTAAGCATCCATAGCACAGGTCATGGAGGTGAACACTGGCCAACTCCTCATCCATCTCATTTGATACATGGAGGAGGTCAAAGCATTGCAGCTCAGCCTTACAGGGCAGAAAGAGATGATCTCCTGTTCTCCTTTGAAGTTTCTCATTAGTGACATAACTGTGACTTTTGGAGCTGCAGGAGCCATCTAATGTGTCTCCTTTTTGGGGTGCTGGGGTTCAGCACAAGCAGACTAATCTCTGTTAGTAGTTGGTGGGGACAAGGATACCCACATCAGACAGAGCACTTGCATCTGTGCTCAGCAGAGGGACTGTCAACACTGGAGCCTTTCCCGGTTTGGTAATTCCCATTATTTGGACTCCACACAGGGAGCACAGTAATGTCTGGCTTCTGAAATGATTTGACATAGCTACGTGCTCCTTTTACAAGTGTTTTATAGTGATATGTGGATATTTATCCAGCCTGAGAATTTATCCCTCATTTATCCATTATAAAACCTTGCAATAGTTCTTTGCACTGCTGCCTGCTGTCAGATGAGTTATAAAGATTAAATGTTATAATAGTTGGAAAAGAATTATCACTGTTTTCAGCAAGCATTCATTTTGATGGGTCCACTGCATGTGTTCAAAGGCTAATATTGTAAGGATAGCAAAGGTATGGATTCTATGTGACTTCTAAAATTCCATTTACTTCCCTGAAGGAAAGCTTTTCTTGATTAATTAATGTACCTTTACCTTAGTTCCTTTTTATATGCTCCTCAGTACTTGTAGGAACTTGTACTGCCTTCTTAAAACAGATGGGGGTTTGTTTTGAAAACTAGGGCTTTAGTAAAAGAATCTTACACAGTGCTTCTTAACCTGGGGTAGATGCCACTGGACTGGATGTATAAAGTACTACTGGCAGAGCACTGGCTATGCTGGGCTGTAGTTACTGTGACTTTATGCATGCAGGAAGTGTGGTTATGGCTGGGGACATTAAGGCCATTTTGCTCAGCACTGTTCTCCTCTGTTGTCTACAGATCCCAGTCTTATTCCATGCCTTATGAATTCCCCTGCACTTCATATGCAAAACTGCTTTCTTGTAGCAGTTTTTTTATCAGTGAAATCTTAACTGTGCCTTTCAGTTTAATAATAACTGTGAACACATTTCACTACTAATATTAGGGGGTTTTACTAATCCCTTGTAGGAATTTTGCTAGCATTGTGAAAATGTGACTTTTCAGTTTGGTCAGTTCAGTTCCTGGTCCTTGAGTAGTGAGTGTCATGTTTTACCCTAATGGAAGTTGGCATTAAATTCCTTAATATCTTTCATATCTAATTCACTGGAGAGGTTTTGGCTCAGTGTTTCTTTTACTTACATCTATTTGAAGAGTGCTCTCATGCAAGTATGTCAATGATTAAGGCTTTTTTTTTTTTAGTGAAAAATAGAGTTTTAGGATTGTTGCTTATATTAACTTCTTTCCCTCCACCCCTTGGTAGTTCTTCATAAGATTAGTGAGCTGAAGTTTAGTGTGTATATGATCACAGTAATAATACCAGCTATTTAGCCTTCAGTGTAAATTCCCTGTAAATTTATTGGAACACCCAAATAAAAAGGATCTGTTCTGTGTTGTTTTGGCTTGGCAGAAATAATGCAAAGAACTGTCAAAGGCAAAGAGTATGTAATTTCCTTTTTACCACTGAAGAATAGATTTGGCTGGATTATGTCTTCAATGCTAATCTAGCTCTGTGTGGCCAAACAGATTTTTGGAACCTTGTTGTAGCCTATTTATTTTCTGTTCACTTCAGGCCAAATCTTCTAAGGTCATGGGGCTTTTGGCACGTCCAGGGTGGTGATGTGAAAAAAGCTTAAGAGAAGGAATTGAAATTTAGAGCTCTGATCCAGACCATTGAAATTGAGGTTGCCATTTGATGCGATTAGGTCATGGCTAGCAATACGTGTATGGTCAAACTGTGGCTTTATGCAGGTATTTATTTAACTTTACAACTGGCTTTAATATTAAAGTATCATAATGAAAATTCTTGAACAGATCCAATAGAATATATGGTGAAGCTTTAGCACAGTAAAACATTTTTAGTTCATTCACTTGGCTATTGAAATAAGCTTAATTCTGGTCTCCCTTCTACTGGCAAGCACTATTTCAACAGAAAGCACATTGCCTCTTGTAACTGTAATAGAGCCACGCTCCTTAAGCCTTCTGTCTTAGCCAGTGATTAGTAACATTTTTGTCTTGAAGCATTGATTTGATATGTTTAACATAATACCCATTCCTTCTTCGCTTGAACATCTTTGTTTCATCACCTTCAGTATTGCAGAATGGTGGGGGACACATACTCATGCAGCACATCATGTTTTCAGTGGCTTTTCCTTTAGAACACATCAGTTAAATGCCTTTTTCTGCTCTGCTTTCCCTCTGTACAGATGACAGCATCTCAGCTGCGAGCACGTCTGATGTCCAGGACCGCCTTTCAGCCCTGGAGCTGAGAGTACAGCAACAAGAAGATGAAATCACTGTGCTGAAAGCAGCGCTGGCTGATGTGCTGAGGCGTCTCGCTATCTCTGAAGACCATGTAGCTTCTGTGAGAAAATCAGCACCAAGTAAAGGCAAGCCCATATTTGGTGAATTCTTTATAGAGTTAAAATGCTGTAATTTAGAATGTTCTCTGTTGGTCACTTCTTTTTTCCCTTTTTTGTCTCATTTGCAAAGGTAGGTATGTTTTGAGCTGGAGGACGTAGTACTTTAAGAGTGGCTTCATGGGATATGGCTCTGATCTCTGAAATGGCTAACAGATCTCTGAAACGTGTGTTAACTTGTTTGCTTACATGTTTACTTGACACCTCTGAACATTTACCTTCCTTCTTGGTGAAAGGTTCTTGTTTAAATGGTGAAAAACTTTACAGCTGCAGCCCATAGTCTGCCACTGGGGGCTCTGGGACTTATGGGCAGTTCTGAGTCTCAACTTTGACTTCACCCAGAAGTTATTTGATTTTAGAGGCTTATTAGAGGCTACATTTCCCTCTGCTCCTAAATGAAAACCAAAACAAATAGCGCAGAACACATTGCTACCAAATGAGGAAGCTTTCTGAATATAGTTAATTTTTGTTCATCTACTGCTCATCACCACCAGTAGGTTCCTTGCAAGAATTAGCCCTGTAGCTACTCAGCAATATCTCTTGATTATTGGCTAGTAAGTTGTACATTGCAACTTCGAAATATATAGGGTTTCTTAAAGTAAAGGAACTAGATGATTAAATACAAGGCTAGGTCATATTTCAGATAATTCACAGTTGTAATTCACCCTAAGTGCATGTATACCCCTACCAAAAGTCATGCAGCATGGAGTTCTCTGTGCTCGACCCCGATATTCAGCCTTGAAGTACACCCATGACACCACCAGCAGGGTAACACTGAACTGACACATCAAAGCCTGTGCTTATCTGGGTGACTGAGTTGTGCAGGCTGAAAATGCAAGAGATTAAAATGCTGGAAGTTTGAATTATTTTAGATGTGGCAGAGAGATCCTATTCCTTAATGAAGTGTTTTTGCAGTCTCTCTGCCAGATGGAAGGAAGTGATGATGCTTGGGCTCTGAATCCTGCCATTCTCTTTTGCTTGCTAAATGGTAGGCAGTTGTCATCCCTGCTTATAAGTGCAGCTTTTATCTACTCAATATGCAGCTCCAGTCTCATCAAGATTGGGACTTTCTTCTCTAACTGTATGTAAAATAGAGCTCTGGCAAGGATTGTGACCAAATCACTCTTTGCTGTTTGCTGTCCATTATGACAAGAAGAACATATCAAAGTGGAAAACTCTGGACAAAACATGTACAACATAGGACCCTATTCTTCCCATTTAAACACAGAAGAGCTGGGATATGCACACGTGGCTAAAGACCGTTGGCTTGGAGCTGTCAAGTACCCATGCACAGGCAGAGCAAACTTGGTGTCTTCTGCAGAATGCTTTGGAGCTGTCTCCTTTCTGGGACTCTGGGCATCTCGGGGCCATGCCAAGTTCTCCAGATAGATTTATTCAGTGAAAACTGAATGAATTATTTATTGGTGGGTGAAATATCTAAGTATCTTCAGCTTTGGGCTTTTACATCTCTACCAGTTAATGCCAACAGCATGTAGCTGTGAGGAAAGAGATGGTGACAGGGTCAGAGATGTACACGTATGAGCTAATATATTGAACTTAAATGAGTTCTAACTAATTGGCACTGTATCTAAACTGTGGTGGATGTGTCCCCATTGTGTTCAGTTACCCAGTATCACCAGACAACACATTAACTTTGCTGTTAATAATATGTTAATTCACTAATAATGAAATCAGCTCCATATAGTTGGTATAAAGATGTCCCAAAAGAAAACATTCACATATGGTCACTGGAACTTCGTAGAAGTCTAAAATTAGACTTGATGAAGAAGCTTGAGGTGAACATTGATTTAAACATAGATATTTTAATGAATATTTCAAATCAAGCTTGTACATAGCTTTTTGAAATACCTTAGGTTCTACTTTTGATTTCTGTTATTTTCATTCAGTAGAGAAAGAACTGTTGAAATGTTTTGACGAGGGAAAAGGGATTCTTCTCGTGAAGGAGCAGGGTTGGCAGGAGAGCTGAATTGTCAGACAAAAATAATACTCAAGGAAGTAATTGTTACTTCGAAGTAATGTACAAGAACATAACAGGCTCTTACTAGTCATGTCATGGTTGCTGCAAAGGTAATTGTATTCCTCCTAAACTCTTTTTGGTGTTCGTGATCCTGTTAAGAATCTGGATTTCTGCATTACAACAATTGCAGTTTCCTGGTAAATATTATAGGTAGGTTTTCTTAAGAAAAAGAACTGCTGAGGCTTTGATTCACAGAAGTATTTGTCTGTCTAGTAGACCTTAAATACGTACTGACAGAAATAACAAGTAAAGAGAATAGATGTGGCTGTGGCTCTGAATACGTGGAGATGGTTTTCATTTGAAGGATTGCAACACAGTGAGATAGATGCTTCTGAAATATGCTGAACTTACACAAATCATAGTACCAGAAAAAGCCGTCTTGAATCTTCCCATCAACCAGAAGAGTTTTAAGCTGAGTAAGAGGCAATATCTAACCCAGTTTGAACAAGTCTTTCCTACTTGCTGCTGAAAAGAGTTTTCTGAAACCTCTTGGTTTTTTTCTTGTTGCCACTCAGCAGTGTCTTTGAAGAGAGCTTTTCCATGAGCTAAAAATAAGGGTTGTGAACAGACCAGGAATTGTGCTGGAAGGGACAAATCCCCACCATTTTTTCACTGATTTTTCTCATGCTGAAGTTGATGGCTCAACTTAGTGTGGAAAGAGGTCTCTTCATCCTTTGTGTTAATTTGTCTGCGTTGCATATCTGGCAAGCTCATTCTGTCCTGATTTTACTTACCCCTTTATTGTAGATTGATAGATTGACTCAACCATAGGCGAAAACAACTTTTTTGCATTATCCTTGTAGTCTGGGTTTTTCTTTTCTCCTAAATTTCTGTGCATGCTTATTTTGAACTTGGGCATGTCTTCAGTGGAAAAATGCACACGGGCATGGATAGATTTGTATTTCAAACCCATGGGCTGTCATGCAGGAGGTTACTACCTATGATGTTGTCTCCGTAGCCCTGTCTCAGAAGCAAGCTGCTCTGCAGGCAGGGATAGGTGATTTGCAAACTGTATGAGATACAAAGGATGAGAGTTTTTTAGCCACTTTAGAGCCTCCTTGTAAAGCCTGAAGTGGAGATACTCTGTGAGGGAAATGCCTTTAGTAGGGGTTGCAACAGAACTAACACTTGTCTGTTACTGCGTAGTGGAAAGCAGGCTGGGAGTGTTCATACGTGGCTTGTTTTCTTGTTTAGTATTTCTCAGTGCAGTCATTCTAAAGGGAGAAAATCTTTTCAAACTAAAAAGGCCATGTTGGTACCTTTCCATCTCTGCACACAGCTGAGGAGAAACTACACAAAGGAGAAACTTAACAGCTCCAGAACAGGACCTGAGGATTAGAATTGTGGAAGAGCTTGATTAGGAAACAGGTTTCCAGCAGCTAGAGGTTTAGGGGGGTTGTAATGTGTGGGTGCATGTGTGGGGTTGGTTTGGTTTGGTTTGTTTTTCCTTTCTATCTATCTTTCTCTCTTTCTTTTCTTTCAATAGATGGCTTGATAAGAAGAATTTCTTTGGTGGGAAAGTCTTTGCTTTTGGATGCTCTGTGCTCTTGTTGCCACGTGTCTCTGCTGTTGCTGCATGACTGATGCTGTTAGCACTCACAAAAAGTTCCAAACCCAAAGATTACCTGGATCCCAGAGGAAAGGAAAGCGTAAAGCAGTCTGATACTTATGGCTGCCAGCAAGATAGGTTGGCTCAGAAGTGGTGCCTGGAAAACCTATTGCAATCTTCTAGGGTGTCAAAATGTGTGTAACAGGAGAATCCATCCCTCAGGCTCTGGGTGTGGAGGCAGATTTGTGGCACACAATGGCACCAGTAAAATCTCTCAGACAGTGATCTGATCACTGGGGCATGAGCTCTTGCCTGAAGAAGTGCCCATCTACCAGAAGTACCTCTGATGTCTGTCTGTAGAGGAGCGGAGAGTTTATGTCCTTTTTCTGGATCTAGAAGTAGTGAGGAGGCTTGTCACAGGTTAACCCTTTGGAGGAAAATTTCCCATTGCTTGGACAAGAATTGATATCAAATAACCAAGAGGCAGCTTAGTTACTTAAAGCAGTGATCTTGGGGACGTGCGAAAGCAGCTCTGTACTAAAGTGCAGGGTATTTTTATAACAGGAATCTGGAGAGTTTTCCTTTCCTGCTCCCTTTACTCCTGGGAAATAATGTGTTTCTTCAGTTGTAAAACTCCTAAGTAGTGTTTTGCGTCAAACTCCATCTTACTGTGTTAATGCAAGCAGAGCACTTCCGATGGCATTTTCATTGCAATGGTTTCATTTCACTAACACTAAGTCATTTGGGTTTGTATTAACAAGAACTGGCTTCAGGTGGTTGGCAAGATTCATTAATGAAAGCGTGAAATAGACTTGTGGTGTTAGTCTTACCATGCCTTCATGTGCAGAATTGCTCTAATAACTGTGCACATGGTTAGGTTGTCTAATCAGTAAATACAAGTGTAGAGAGGAAAATGCTTATGGTAGGGGTAGGATATAGGCTCTTATCCATGATATTAAAGCTAACCTGGCAGTTGTTTTTTATGTTTCATTGCACGTAGGGTCTGGCATGCTCAACTGTGACTGACCAGGATTTGGTTCTGGAGTGTAAGAAAGCCCAGTGTATGTTTGACACGTGAGAAAAGTCTGTCAATGCAGTTTTTCCTAGATATTAATGTTTTGGTCCGGGTCCAAATGTTGCAGTTACTTGTTCAAGAAATGAATGATTCAAAAGTTACGTGTAATTTATTAGTCATTTTACAAAACTTGTTTTCACTTTGATTCAGAAACCTTCATCTCCACCTTAGTTTTGCGTGCCATGTGTTGAAAGGAGGAAGTACTCTGCAGACCTACCATTGACATCTGCTTTACTGAAAACCAAATAACCCCAAGCCTGCCATACGCATCCTTTTCCTTATTGTTCTTGCGTTCCTCGTGGAGCAGCACACATTCCTGCCATGAGCATTGCAGTGCTGTACAGTCTTATCCATAATCTGCTTTGTCCTTGGATGTAAGCAGGAACTGACACTTTTCATAACTAGTAGGGGAATTATTCTAGGTGTTGTCAGTGAAGGAAATAGTGATGTGTTCCTTGCTTGACAAAACTGAGCAGTTTGTTGCCCATCTTATTAACTTCCCACAGCGTGTCTGTAGCATCGTTGTTCTTTACACTCCCCACTGAATGCTTTCCCCACTGTACTGGGAACTACTGCTACTGTGTCTCCTGATCTGTGTTTCTGGAAAGCTGTGCTAGTGCTGGTTGGAGAGGCATTGATCTATTACGATGAGCAGATGGAGATGTTAAGGTCATCCACAGTTCAGGAGTGAATCATAGGATATTATGCATCTCCGCAAAGAAGATGATTTCCTCTGTCACTGAAAAGAAGCTTATTTATAGGCTTCTAATACTAAAAATGCTTTTTAAGCTTATGCACTTTTGTTCTTGCATCTGAGTTGCAGAGGGGTAAAAGTCACTTGAGCTTTCAAGGTTTTGTACAGTATCTTAATTTCTAAAGTCTGTGTTCCAAATTTGTGTGTTGCAAATAAAATGGTCTCAAAGTACCAGCGGTTGGAAGGGATCATGCTGGATTGATTTATGCACAATTTAGGAAGAAGAATGATCTTTGCAGTCTTTCTTCAAGTGGCAGGCTGAGAACATTGGGGCTGTTCAGCCTGGAGAAGAGAAGCTGCGTGGAGACCTCAGAGCAGCCGCCAGTGTCCGAAGGGGCTACAAGGATGCTGCAGAGGGACTCTGCATCAGGGACTGGAGTGACAGGACAAGGGGTGATGGGTTCAAAGTGAACCTGGCTTTAACCTGCCAGAGGGGAGATTGAGATTAAGGGGAAGGCAGAAGCGCTTCCCTGGGAGGCTGCTGAGGCGCTGGCACAGGGTGCCCAGAGAAGTTGTGGCTGCCCCATCCCTGGCAGTGTTCAAGGCCAGGTTGGACACAGGGGCTTGGAGCAACCTGCTCTAGTGGCAGAGGCGTGGAACTGGATGATCTTGAGGTCCTTCTCGACCCAAACCACTCTGTGGTTCTATGATTGTAAGTGTGGCTTTACTTTCTTTAGAGTGCCTTTGTTCTCACTTCTGCGTGTCATATTCCACATGCTTCTTTTGGCTTTCCTGATCTGAATTTCAGATATGGTCACATGCTGCTCGGTGCAGTTGAAGCACTGTAAGTTAGCGCAGGTCAGCCTGGTTCTGCCTTCATCACATAGTCCTGAAATCTAATATGCCCTTGATGGGTGTATCTCATATGTAAAGTGCTTGCTTAAAGTAAGAATTAATTTGCCTCTCAGCCTGCCTGATAGAGTGTGATGTGACAAATGGACCAAATGCTGGTATTGTTCAAATGAAGCATCGGTGTGAGTTTGCCCTCTGTCTGCAGAGCAGTCTGTTCTCCCCCACTGGTTTTTTACTCCTCACTTTTATCTTCAATGTGTGGCCTCATGCCTTATCTATCTCACACCATTCCAAGCCTGCCGTGAACACAGACCTGTTATTCTGCTGTCTCTCATGTCCTTCATGCTTGTTGCTGAAGTCAGTGACTGGACATCATGACACCATGAGATGCAGTAACAGCTTGCTTGCTGTTTGTTAAATGGGGATGTGGCACAGAGATGGGGCCTAAAGTGACTGTTAATTTTTGAATGCTTAATGTGAGATTAGTCCAGGAATTTCTTCAGGGGATGTAGTGCTTCAGAGGGGAAAAGCACAAGTTTAGCCCTCAAGGGGCAGAGGGGACAGAGCTCTTTCCTGAGTAAGACCTTACAAATAAGACAGGCATGCAAAAAAAGGCTAGAGACACAGTGGGAAAGGGTGAAATGTCAGGTTTGAGTCAAGTGCCTTGTATTTCACTGATGGGCTGTGGCAGAGGCAGATCTGAGAGCCAATTGCCAGGCCCAGGCGAGCATTCAGCTCTTTAAATAGAAGAGCCTTCACTCCCCTTGTCTTCCTTGCAGTCCCCTCCCACATTCACTGCATAGTTTCAAACTTCTGCAATGAGTGAAGTGGGCATCTGACAGACAACAGCCTTCTTCACATATACAGCCTTGATTTATCCCCCAAGGGAGTCTGTCATGTCACTGCATGTGGCAGATGTTCCATGGAGTGAACTGTAGCAGCAACTTTATACCATAGTTATCTATCAACCTATACCATGGGTCAATACCTTTTTAAGATGGAAGGGGCAGTTGAAAAACTTGATTTTTGAATCCTTACAATCACAACCCTTAAATAACTTACGCTACAAAGAGGGCTTCTGTCTGCAACTGCCTTCCTCTTTAGTAAAGGGAAGAAAAACCAATCTGAAAACAAGAAACCTCATGTGGTGTTATCTGACCTGTGATGGCTTTGAACAACAGAGTTGGAATAACCAGATGTGCTGTCCCACAGCTGTTGGAGCTAACCAGCTTCCCAAGGCTAGCCATAATCTATAATCTGTGTGGGTCACAACTGGGAAGAAATGTGCTACATCACTCACTGAATTGAAGTGTTTTCTGGCAGCATGGCAGTAGATAAACTGACCCCATATCCAAATGGATTCTTGCCTGTCTTAGTATCCCAGCTCTCCCATCTCCAGGTGAAGGATTTCATGAACGTATGTCACTGGATGTAGGCTAGATGGCTGTCCTGGATGCTGGGGCTGCTGCCGTGTGATACCGGGTCCACATCTGAAAGCTTTTGGTTTTTCGGATGGATCCTTGGATACAGCTGTAAAACCTTGTGTTCTTCATTCTTTTCCTCCCTAGGTCAGCCAAGCCTCCGAGAAGCTATCTCCATGTCCTGTATAACCAACGGGAGTACAGGAAGCAGGAAAACAAGCCACAGTTCATCTGTGTCTGTTGCCAGAAAAGAAACTCTTTCGTCTGCTGCAAAAAGGTACTGGCTTGTTATTAACATTTCAATTATTGTTTTTAAACAAACAGAGCAAGAGTTTGTGGCTCTTGATGTAGCCACAGAGTTCTGCCTCTGCATGACCCTCAGCAGAGCTTCCTCAAGTCTGGTAAGGCACAAGCACACTTTGGACTTGTACCATGTTGTTGGGCAGCTTACAGCAGGGTTCTAAAGAGAATTCCCAACTGGAGAGTATTTCTGTAGTGTCCAGTGTCCAAAATGCACAAGGGACAGAATGGGCAATGGTACTTCCAATACAAATGGAACATTTTTGCTTCTGGTATTCATCTGCATCCTTATTCTTCTATCAAGGAAATGAAAGGACAAAACTGAATTAATTGTCTGCAGGGTAAATAGTAGCCAATAGCAAAAGAGCTGTGAAACAATAGTGAATTGTGTTAAGATAAAAGTTTACAACTTTGTATAGATATCTTAACCCCAAATATGGCTTTATGAAGAATATCTGTATTGGATCTCAAGTGTATAGAAATAACACTGCTTGGGTATTTTTAAGTTAAATAAGCTAAGAACCAAACAATAGCCCTTTTCCCCCTCTGTCATGTTTTCAATTGCAAATAGTAAACACGGTGTTTGTATAACCACTTTCTTCTGTGGGTCTTTTAGATAGTGAGTGCGTGCCTTCTTTAATCAGTAGGTTTTGCACTTACTCCTTCTTGTTGGGAAGAACAGGCTGCCAGATGTAGCCGCAGGGCAGAGAATACTCTAATGTGTAACTGTGGTGAATTATGGGAACAAATTCTTGGCCTCTGTAGAGTACTCTGGTAACTCCAGTGGTTGATTTATCTTCTAGTGTGGATGTAAATACTGTGCTATACAACAAGACAGGCAAGGGAGATACTTCAGGGAATAAAAATGCTGCATGCAAATATAAACTGCATGAGGGCTAGCCAGAAGAAGCTTTAGCGCTCTTTGGAATTTGGAAAGCAAGGGTAATGCCTTGCTCTTCACTCTTCACTGTGTCACATTGCATATCTTCCTTTTTATTGACTCCTTATGTTTACTTTTCAGTAATAAATCAGGAAGTGATCTCTGTATGTCTCTATTGCTAGTGTGACAGGCACTGGGACAAAGGACATTCCTGCGAAAGGTATTCCTTAGTTAGCACTTTTCCATTAGTCTTAGCCCTGTGGCTCTTGGCACTTTGATGAGAGCCAGTCCAGTTCCCGTGGCGTTCAGCTTGCCTTTGTGCTGAATCACTTTCTTGATTCATTGGCTGCTCAGCACTTAACTGCAGAAGAAAAGCAGAGTGGAGTAGCCAGCATCCAGTTCATTTGAGTTATGGTCTCTAAAAGGAGACCTGCATAGGCCAAAAGAGGAAAACCTTAACATGCAGAGGGCAGCTCTCCCTAGGTCCCCAAATAACTGTCCAGGGCATGTTTTGGTGCTTCCAGTGAAGCTGAAGATACATGACTCCCTTCTTCAAGGCTAGCTTTAGGAAGGCCTAAATCTCTGGTTATTTTCCAGCAGTTCCTTTCACTCTCCTGTGTTTATACATTCTTACATGGAATTTGTTTGCTATTTGGAAGAAAATAGACTTGACCTTTCGTAAAAGTAACACGTCAAGAAAGGTGAAAGAAAATACCTAATCTCAGGTTTTTTGGATGTGGGTTTTTAATTACAGTGAAACTGTTCAGTACCAAATAGTGTTCCTGGTAGAAATGCAAATGAGTGTCAGGAGCAGTCTCCTTCCCTTAACAAAGTTAGAGTGAACATGTATATTTCTAGGACTTGTCACACTGAAAAGGAGGGAGGCCAAAGGAGAATATCTGCTGGTTATGGGATGCTTCACTGCAGCTGCTCCAGACTTTTCTTCAGGCTGGAGGTGGACATGGTCGTCTTTTGATGTAGAATTATGCTTTAGTTACCAAACAGGCCCCATAGCCTGCTTATGGCTTTTCAATACATGTAGCTATACATCTAGTCACAAATAACAAAAGACCTACTCGTGCCCAAACTGTTACTGTGTTGAAGTTGAGTGTCTGTGTTTCATGCAGTCCTAATATTGTACATGTCTGGGGCCTTGGCCTCTGTAGGCTGCCATCTCTGAGAACTTCTTCTAAGAAGAAACAGTTTCTTTTCCTGGACTGTTTCATCCTTGTTCTACCAACCTGACTACTGAGATTATTGGAGGTGATCTGATGGCTCAGCAGCATCATTTCTCATTTCAACAAAGATAGGCTAAAATATCAACTCTTGCTAAAACCAGAGCCCAGGAATGGACCACAAGCAACAGGTAAATGATGTCCCATTGACAGAGATGAAGTCACCTGCATTCTGGGAAAATTTCAGTCCTGTCTTCTGGAAATGACTTGTGTGATAGAGGTGTTGTAACACTCAGAACAAAAACCATGCTGCATACACTGTATATCAGCAGAGTTGGAAACAGGTTTGTACAGCAGATGACTGTCACAGAGACCTGTTTGATGGCTTTCCTTAGGACTAAACATTCTTCTGATAACAACTCCTGGTTAAGCATAGTCTTCATGTTCCAGATTGACCATCCTCCACAGTTGCTGCCAATGCGTTGTGGTCCAGAGGATGAAACATTGTGCTAAGTGAAATTAGAGAATCTGCAAAATGAAGACAGGTAGTAGTAGCTCACAACTCCTCACATGTAGACTGAAGAAATCCTTCATCAAGTTGGGATTTGGAAAGAACTTTCAGATGCATTAAATGGCTGCTTCCCAGAACTACTACTTTTTAGAAGCCCACAAGAAAAGGTTCTGGGTTTGATTTGGTTTCATTTGTTGCACAAGACCTAATTGAAGAGGTATTAGTAGGAGAGCCACTGTGTAATAGTCAGTCATAATACTATTAAGCTGAAGATTTCAGCAGAAGTGAGCAAACCAAAGAAATTCAACAGAAAGGTAGTCAGGCTGCCCCACATCTACATAATTTACTTTCAAATTAAAACAGCAGTCAGAAAAGAAGCCCACTTGCAGCCTGGTGGGAGATAAAAGCACTGTGTTGGAACCCAAAGTATACCTTGTGCTGCAACTCAAAGAGGAAACAGAGTGGTCCAGTCATTCTCATGGCCCAACTGAGAAGTCAGGCGAAAGGGACTGCAGATAATGACCTTACTGGTGAATCTTCCATGCTACCATCAGAGACAGATCATGGTGCCAGGTGAGCCATTGTTCTGACCATGTAGGACCATTTGTAGACTTGCAGGCTAGATATGCAGAAGTCATTCTGTTTGTGTGTTCTCTCTCCTCCTGCTTCCCTCGTCTCTTTTACTATTAGACATTTTGAAATCCCGAAGTAGAGGGAAAGGGAAGGTTGGAAGCATATTTTCCTGAAAAATGAATTCTTAAAAACAACCTCCCAAACAAACCAAAAACCTTTGTCCTAGTACAACAACTTTGTTGTGAGAAACTGGCATTTTTGGGAGAGTGCATGCGGAGGTCTGGGAATGTACCCATTGGAGTAGGAATAGACACTTGTTTAATGACAAGAGATTCTGAGCATGAATGTTGCTATACTGCGTTTCTTACCATAGACTACAAAAGGATTCAGTATTGCATCGTGTGCTTGCAATGCAAGCTAAGTCTTCTGATTAAGGAAGCATCTTTTGAATGTTTCTAGTTAAGAAGGGACTACTGGCTCTAAATTATTAACCAAACCCCACAGTTCTTCAAGCCTTTTTCTGTTTGATCCTAATAGATGTCCTCAAGAAACATGAAAGATTTATTTTCATCTGCTGTTCTGAAAAGCAGATTGAACTTCAGTGGGTTATATTGCCCTTTTTCATAGGTTTGCAGAAGAAACCCTGAGTGATCCTTTACAAATGTATTTTGAGGTTTCTATTGTTTTTCATGTTTTGACCTGTTCTTCAGTGCTGCTTTGGAAGCATTTAGACAAGTTGAACTCGAATAAGCATTGAGGGCTCTGCCTTGGTGGTGGTAGGTGATACACTTTAAGTGAAATGACAAATGAAACAAAAAGAGGGTCCTGTGAATGTTACATTAAAATTGGGACCCGTTTTTATTTAATTTATTTGAATATTGTCTTCCTGGTATTCAGTGTTTTGGGGGGGGAAGGTAAATGGAAACACAAATAATGAAGATTATACAATGGCTCAGCAGGGATTTAGTGCGAGGGAATAGAAATCTGGATTTTCCCCATCAGAAAGATAGTATTTCTTTACTTTGCAGGTTAATTCTTGTTTTGTTTGGTTTGGGGTTTTTTTTAGCCATTGTTTGTATCTTGCTTTATTTGTTCACTGAGATATTTATTGGAAGATGGGCTTTTAATCTTAAATGAAAGAATTAGGCCATGTGTTACAGAATAATCTTCTTTTGCAGGTTTGTGTGCTTCAGTATATTGCATAGAAGAACCTTTTCATGAATCTTTCTGCTCACTTAGTGGCCCTTTGGTTAGATTCTTAATGAGTTTCAGGTTGTTAATGACATGTATTTAAGGCTGTTTCAAATGTTAACCTAATAAACACATCGCTGTGAAACTGAAGATGTATCCTCAGCTGTCATTTCCCAAAGGCATTAAAGGAGTGGCAGGACAGGCTGATGTTAGTCAGCTACAGATCATGAGTTTTCAGTGATGTTTTCTTTTGAACTCTAGTACAGCCAGGGGCCAGCAACATCATTTCCCTCTTTGGTGACAGTGCAAAGAGAAGTGGTACCAAGCATATCCAGAAATACAGAGAGAGGTACAGGTTCATGGCAGGCTTCGGCTAATCAGAGAGAGCGCAAGTCGCACTCCTGCCTTTCTCTTGCTCAAAGCCTTGGCTGGCAGCATGGAAAGGCAGTCCATGAGCTGAACCAGAGGATGGTTTTTCTCTGAGGGATGGCAGACTTGTGGTGCATCAACTTGTGTAGGAGCACCTGCGAATGAAGGACATAGAAGCACAGAATAGTTTGAGCTGGAAGGGACCTTCAAAGCTCATCTAGTCCAACCCCCTGCAATGAACAGGGACATCCTTCGCCTAGATCAGGTTGCCCAGAACTACACCCAGCCTGGCCTTTGAGAAGTTCTTTTTAAGAAGAACCTGCATATTCAAATCAAAGTTGTACCCGTTTTAAAATCAAAGTAAACTTAGTACAACTGTGCAGTGAAAATCAGGATATACCCTTCCATGCCTCCCTCGCCGCCTTTATTTTGGGAGCTTGTGAATAAATCTCATTTCAGCAAAACAGCCTGAAGAGAGTGAGGAAATGATTGAAGTGTTCTTTTGGTGATTATATATAGTAAGTTGTTACATGCTTCTCCCTTCTTTTCACAGACAGCTTTTTCTCTCACCTTTTTAATTTATTTGCTTGTTTTGTTTTTTCCTTCCCCCTGTGTTATACTTTATTTTACAGCGGTACAGAAAAAAAGAAGGAAAAACCTCCAGGACAGAAAGAAAAAAAAGAGGAATCTCATTCTAATGATCAAAGTCCACAAACTCAAGCATCACCTTCTCCCCAGCCCTCCTCCCAGCCTCTCCAAACACACAGGCAAACTCAAGAAAGCAAGAATTCTGCTCCAGCTAAAAGGTTTTCACAGTACCACCATACAGAATGAGAAAGTGATTGTAATGATACTGAGCTCATATCTGACAACAAGTCATGTGAAATTATTCCAGCCCGATCAGCAAGTGAATGACTGGTATTTTTTGGGCTAAAGGAGATGCATTCAACATGCATTGCATCAGAGCAGTTGTGTACAAATGAATTCATGAGTAAATCTTTAAGATTACTGGGGAGGGAGGGGGATTGTTTTCTGTGATTGAAACCCTCTAATCAGGCATTATTATAAAATTCAAAATATTGAATGACAACTCCTACTTGATCCTTTACAAAATACACTCCCTAGGCTTTGCTGGCATAGCTGAATCGTGGAGTGTATTTTGCACATGCCCATTTGCTACCTCTCCTAACAGCAGTTGTTAAGTACAAGTATCATTGCAACTCGTTGGGAGGTTTTCTTTTCAAATTGCTCAATAAAGTGGCTGCATTTGGCTTTTTGTTTGCACCACTTCCCTTTTCAGTCCCTGCTAGGTTGCGGGGTGGCTCACTTTGGTTCTGATTCTTTACATGAGTGAAGTTCTAGTTTTACATCCAAATCGTACTTGACTCGAGTGAGCATAGAAGTGTATTAGGGTCACCTCCAAGTTCCCACTCATTTTTAGTTGGAGTTAGATGCTGAAAAATGATACTTTTTAGTGGCTTTTTAAAGTCAAGGGAACTGATTTTAAGATTTGGGTGATTACTTCTGAGCTTCAGGACTCTACGGATCACTCTGTTGTGTTTTTTTCTTCTTTTGGTTCACTATCAACTTTTTGGAAGGTGTGAAATTCTCTTTTACTGTTTTGCTTATAGGAGCCTCAAGCTCTTAAATAAAAGCCGTTTCTACTTCTGAAACTTGCTGTAGTTCACAAGATTGTTGTCTTGCATTGCTCAAATTCACAGCTCTAATAAATATTGAAGCCTTCACTTGACTGGTGCATGTTATAACACTCCATAAAGGCTCTGTCTGCGTGTCTTGCACACACTCTCGAGTTGTCTGAAGCTGAACTCGTGGCCTGTTGCTCTCCTGCCTGGTATCTCACTGTGAAGATGTTTGTCTGGAGTCTCGCTTACTAATCTTTTGCAGTGTGGGGAACAAAATAAACGCCTTATTCAATCTCCTCCTGGTTTAACTTGATGTGATTAACTGGTTTGTTGCAGGACCTTTCAGCCTCTTGCGATGCTGTGGAAGGAGCTTGCCATTTCTAAGACTGCAGCTCAGGACTTACTCCTGCAAAAAGTATTTCTGACGGGATGAAGTAGGATACTGTTAGCAGGACATAAGCAGACCTGAAGAATCATTTGGGCTTGCTCACTTTTGGCTGTGTTTTCCGTAATTAGAACGTGTGTGAAATTCAGTCACTACAAAACTTGCAGGCTCCCAATTGGCTACAACAAGATTGCTGAACACTGGAATCCACATTCATGGATTTAATCATCTGTAGTATTGGGCCAAACCCGGTTTGCCTGATTCATGCAAGAAGTTTGCAAATATTTGTTTCAAAAAGCTTAAAGCCAGTAATGTGGTTTAGAATGTAGGATGTGCAAAACAGCCTGAGGAAACTGAGCTGATGGAACTGTTCTGCCTCAGAAATTAGTGTGTTAAAGCTGGTGAACAGTTAATCAAGGAAAAAAACATCTTTTGTTACCTTCTCCAGTGACTTTTTGTCTAATTTATTCTTTAAATTAGCCTCATTTTTTTCCAGTGTAGTAATTTCTTAGCAATGTAGTAATAAAGTACAGGGTTATTTTGTTCAAGCCTTTATGTAAGAGCAGTTGAAAATGGAAAGGAATGGATAAAATATTTGGCAACTGTCTTGCTCAGTTGTTTTCATTCATCCAGTTAGAACTTTTTGACTAATCTTTTTTCCCTGTTTCGCGCTTCAGCTTGAAGGAAGACCTCGCTCTGCTTTTGTCTCCTGCTGCTTCATCTGTCCGTTTCATACCAGTTCCACTTGCTGTTGTCTTACTAGCTTGTCATTTGGACATGTATTTCTGTTTCTTCTAGCATAAAGAAATCCCTGACTGCTGAAAAACCTCACAGTGCTTGGGAGAGCTCAGACGACAGTCGGAACAAGCTGCTGAGAGTAGCATCAACATCTAAATTAATATCAAAAGTGGCAAAGAATGCAGATAAGTATGTATCAGTTTGGTAGGTAAAAGCAAGTGAACTTTAGAGTTAAAATGTTAAATATAGAAATGAATATATATATATT